AATAACCTTCATTTCAGGGGTGATAGAACTAAACAGCTCCCAAGAACACACACAAGGACAAATGTTTTCTGGGATCTATCTTTTCGTTTAGGTTTGTTTTTCTCCTGAGTTTCATTCCCTGAGCTTTGCAGAAGACAGGTGGTTAAAAAGAATGTCTAAAACAAAATATGGTTCCTGGAAAACAGCCCCACTGCCTCCTTGCCAGGGTTTCTCACCCTCAACACTACTGACAATTGGGGCTGGACCGTTCTCTGTTGTGGAGGGCTGTCCTATACACTGCAGGAAGCTTAGCAGCATCCCTGGGGTCACCTACTAGATGCCAGTAGCACCCCCAACCCAGTTGTGAAAACCAGAACTGTCTCCAGACACAGCCAATGGGCACTGAAGTTGCCCCCACTGAGGACCACTGTCCTATCTGACCATACTTACACTCCTGAAGCCACCAGTCTCAGAAAGGGTATAGAGATTACTCTCCTCTGAATGAGAGGGAAGGTTAGGGAGTAGGTGCCACATAAAGGGAATGTTAGGGGCCTCTGCAGTATGGATGGTGTTAATAAAACAGGAAATCAGACCCATCCACGTGCAGTCCAACAAGAAGGCCCAGATATTGTTTTCAGGACGATCAGCCACAAGGGATCCTTGGAGAATGTGAATGATAATAGCACCTACCAGTTATGGAGCATTTAATATGCTGGGCACTGTTCTGAGTATGTTTTTTCCATTTTTATTACCAGGGTATAATGTACATGAAGTATTTCAAGTATTTTTATGTATTAATTCATTTAATCCTCACAACCCTATTAGATGGGTACCATTCTGAACCCCATTTCACAGATGAGAACACTGAGGCACGGGCAGGTTAAATAACTGGCCTGGGTTCCCACCGCTCATCTGTGGAGGGGCGTGGATTAGGACACAGCCCGTCTGGCTGGTAGTAACATCAGGGAGCAGAACGGCAACAGCCAGATAACGATACCACAATTCCTGCGGTCGCACAGACACGAGGTGCAATTATCACCAACTGGGAGCCTGAAGTGTTTCTCTTTTTTCTAAGGTCTGGACTCCTTTGAAGGACGGTGATGAAAGCATAATCTCCACACACTTGCAAAAGGCTTCTGAAGTCTCTGGAACTATCTGTGGGCCTCCACTGAAGCACCCAGACAACACGGTCTAGGCCTCAGGCCAGACAGTCCATGGCCCTCATAGGACTCCTGCAAGCTGGTAACTTTACCTCCATTTCACAGATTGGGAAACTGAGTCAGAGAAGTTAAGGAATTAGCTCAAGGCGGCCCGGCTCTTGAATGGGAGGCCTGGCTCAGTGTTCTTCCCACCCCAACAGGCTGCCTTCTCAACTCGATTCACCCATGACCCCCTACACCGGGGACCCACAATCACAAAGGATGCACAGAGCATGGAAAGGACTTACATGTCTAATCTTCTAGCAGCACTGAGGATAGAAACTTGGCAGTGACGATGTAAAAGCTGCTGGCCACTGAGAATTAAAACTGAAAGGTGACATCTGCCTTTCACAAAGAAGGCTGATTCGCCTTCACCGTCTCCATAAGACGGTGTCTTTTCAAAGCAGGGCACAGTTGTCTGGGCACTCACACAAATACCATCCGCCCCTTTCCAACCAGTCACGCTTCCTACCTTGGCCGACACCTGGTCTAGCGTAGCAAACATTATGGGCCAAATGTCAAAGCCAGTTTGTTCACAGACACTAGCTCACTGCCAAAGGTCATCCAGAGTCAATTCAACAGTCAACACATTTGCGAAGGAGACAATGAGAAAGGGGGAAACAAAAAAGGTCACCTGCTTTGACGTCAGAATGATGAACAAGACCAGGAAGACTCTAGAAGCACCTAGACCGCGACGACCTGGGTCCGCAATGCTCGCAAAAGAGAATGTGGGCATCATGACTCCTTCCCCAGAGCAGATGACTGGAAGGACAGGAATCTTGGAGAGTCGCCTCCTCCACTTTACAGTTGGAGAAACTGAGGCATAGAGCGGTCAAGGAACCCACTACTCTTGAAGCCAGAATCAGAACCTAGTTTTCGTGATTCTCAAGCTAATAATGCTCCTTCTGCTGCCCCCGGACGCCAGAGCGGGCAGGCGGGGAAATCCACTCCTCACTGGCTCCCTCACAGAGCCTGGCCTTCACCGCAGACCAAGCTGGAGACGCAGCGGTGACTAAACCAGGTCCGAGCTCGCCCTCAGGAAGCTCGCTTCCCATCCACTTCCACTTTTTAAACATTTCACACTTGCTGGAACTGGAATAAACTTCAGTTCATTCACGCATTCTTTCACCTCTTTAACTGTTTCCTGAGCGACAAATCACGTCAGGCAGGATTTCAGGCCCGGGGACACGGCAGCGAACAGCAGGCCAAGTGCCTGTCCTCGAGGAGCTTATGTTCCACGGGGAGATAAGGAAATAAACAAAGGGCATATGCGGTCCTGCGGGCTTCAGACAGCTGAAGTCAGCAGACACGACAAACAAAGCGGGCAATGAGAGAGGGTGCGGGGGGCGAGCTCTCCCAGCCAGTGACAGGGAAGGAAGACCTCTCTGAAGGACATTTTAACAGACGGGAATGCTTTCTTCCAAAGACGGAGCATTCCAGAAGCTGTGGGCTCCCAGGGGCAGCAAGGAGGCAGGGACATGAATCCGCTGTGCCACATCCTAGCAGGGGACCGCCAGCACAGCCTCTCTCAGCCTTTATTTCTCCAACGATAAAACGAGGCCAACACTCCCGCTTTTCAGGGAAGCTGTGAAAATTCAGCGATGACACAGAAAAGGCCTGGTTCGCAGCAGGCAAAGTAAAGAGGGAGGTGTCCATGTTATCACTCTTCCGGGTGTTCCTCGAAGGGACTCTGGGATTGCCCCAGAACTAGGCATGAGCTTCGGGGTGAATGACATCTGAGGACAGATGGAGGTCACCCGGAAAGAGCTAGAATAAAGATGAGAGAGACAAGGCTCTAGACTTTGGGGGTTTGGGCTCTGACCTGGCTTTTCAGCTTGAACCCTCAGGGCTACTGAATGGACTGGAATCTGACCCCCAAAAAGGATCTCCGAAAAGGATTTGGAAAGAGCCCCCCACACACACACACACAGAGGGATGCCACAGCCTAACACCCAAAGTTCGTGAGATGGCACTGGACGTTGGTGGTGCATCGCTCACTGTCCTTGGTCCTCAGCCTGGTCCTCAGCCTCCCTGGGCAATGACCTGACTCTGAAGAACTAGGAGCAGCGACACTCGCACCACCTGCGGAAGCTTCTTTACCTGACAAGGCTCCAATACCATGTAATGAGTGTCTTCGTTTTACAAATGAGGAAATAGGGCTGAGTCTGAAGAGACAGACAGACAGACAGACAGACAGACAGACAGGAGAGAATGAGGGAGACCTTGCTAGGAAGTAGCGGAGCTTGGACTTGGTCCCAGCATGGTGGCTCCAGGCTCCAGGTGACCCCAGGTAACAGCCCTTCCTCTGCTCTCTCTTGTAGCACTTAGCACACCTCTTTGAATTATTGGTGTCAGTGATCCATACTTAGGGCACCAAGTGGGGACCATCAGGAGTTCCTACCCTGAGAGGCACAAGGGAGGCATTCGAGAACCACT